TCAGTATTTTCAGTTTTATATTTGAACAGCAAATGTTTCCTTTTCAGATACGTGGCTCAGCTGTATCACCTAATAACCAAGATCAAGTGGGAATATGACACCCCGCCCAACATTTTGAAAGGAGGTAAGAAGCTTTGAACAGACTCAGTTATGACCGGATCTTCTTCAGGACTTAAAAACAATTCCTAAAGATATCGAGGCTGATTAAAAAGAAGTAATTATTTGTTTCTGTTATGACGAGCTTTTTGATTCAAGTTTCCATTTCTTAGTGAATGCGACCACAAATATCTCTTCAGTTTTCACAAAAGCAAACCTGTGTGGTCAGGAGTCTAACACACATCCTCTTTTCTAGCTAAGAATAATAGTATTTATTTATTATCTGTGACGCCCCAGAAACAAAGATGCAAAAATACCAGGCAGACAGTTTATGTGAGGTAAACACAGCTACTACTACGACGCCCATACATGGAGGCACAACCAGCTTTTTAAAGCATTGGATCTGCGCAGACAAGTTTAGAGCTCTACGACTTTTTCTGTCAATTAAAACTTGGTTAATTAATCAAAACATTTTAGAGTAAAGTCTTGTATATTTATGTTTCTCAAAAGAAAAATCTTCAACTAGACTGAATCCAATAAAGAATCTTCATTTCCTGTTTTTCCTTTCTAGTTTTTATCAGTACTCAGAGTGGGTCAGCTAAACAGATGAAATTACCATCAGCCACAGTATTTGTTTTAAAAGTGTTTCTAACATTCCTAATGGATGCCAATCAAATACATTTTTAGCGTCCAACGACTCAGTCTCAGTTTGCTTATTCTTCTGCTTCCAACTCTTTTCTCTTTCAGTGCACTACGGCCCAGATCTGGCCACTCCCATCAACATCGACACATCTGCACGCTCTCGCAGCGACACAAGCGATCAGCTGTGGAGCTTCGTCAGCTCTGAGTGGTAGACAACGAGCCGATAGTTGTTTGTTTTTGCCTCGTGTTAAACTGATAAAATCTATTCACATTTATGCTTTAATGCTTGTTGTCTGCATTGGTACGGCAGCATGGACTGAACAATGTCTGCTGAGCAGGAGTTGGTCACTAGATGTCGCTATAGAGCTAATATTGAAGCCAGTGAGGGTTCTTTAGGGCAGATTTAGAGCAAGGATTGCTCTATTACTGTGTTTTATTAATAAACATGTAATTAGAGATCTGCTGTTTAGTCAGAGCATCTTAACTCAGAAACAATATTTACCTTTTGGATTTCCTAAATAAGATCTGCTTCCAAACTGTTTTTTTTATTTTTATTTGTTTTACTTTTGTTTTACAATTGATCGTAATGTCTTCAGTACTATAACATTTATACATTCAGCTAAATTCCCAAAATTTCAGATTTTACTGTATTATTTTCCAACCATTAAACTATTCTGTTTATTTTCAAGTCTTTTTATTTGTCTGCTAACCTACCTCTTTTCTAAGTTGTTTTATTTTACCGTATTTAAAGAAAATACTCAACATCAGATGCATTTCTGGTAAAAAGTTAGTGCAGAAATGATCAATTCGCAATGACATAATCTTTTTACTTATTCTAAAACAGATAAAAAGGGAAGTCTGCAAAAACAGATGTGAAATCCAACCTACCTAAGCTGAGAGATATGAGGAGATGGAGCAATCATGTTTACCATCCATCAACTGTTTCCTATAAGAGCTGATGCTTTTAGAGTTGTGTAGAATGCAGCTAAGTGTTAGCATAATGAAAACTTGGACATATCAGCACTGGCCTCAGGAGAGCGTATGCTTAGTCGTGTTCTGAAAATGATTTAAGAACACAACTAAAGTCAAACTAAAGTATTATTCACGTTGAAAGCTTCGCAGTAAAAACCCTTCTCATTAAAATGATTGTGTAAAAATATTTGGTTTGTTCAAGATCAAAATGAGACACTCATATTCTGACGCAGCAAAATGAATAAAGAAAGCTCTAAAAGCATATGGGTAACCCAGCTGTACTGCACGGTGGAGGAGGTGTGATCTGTTGGCTTTTTAGCAACAAGAAGCCATGATGGGGATGAAAAACTCTCTAATCATTGTTTAGTTTTCTGGAATTTAATATGAAGCAGAATGACTGAAAAAAAAAGGAATCAATGAGATATAACGGCCCAGTCGAAGTCCAGACCTGCGTTTGGTTGAAACATTGATTCTAGTAGGAACTTACAGACACAATGATGTAAATTAAAGAAATACAAGAATGTGAGAAACTGACGAAGTCAAACAGAAAACCACCATTACAACTGAAGCCAGTTCTGTAAGCTACTGAATCATGGGGGCGTACTTTTGTTTTTCACTCACGACTTTTCCATGTTAGCTTCCTGTTCCTCACCATGACAAGGTAGTTTAACTTAAGGTTTTTAGAGAATGTTGCTAGGCCTTGATTTAAATAAGGAGTCATGTTCTTTTTCTGTAGCTGAACGTTCAAAATGAAATGTGATTATTTGGTTTGATGGTAGTGATCCCCCAACTGAGGGTCTGCTTTAGTGGTCTGTTTTTACTGTCCCTATCACACATGGTGCTGCGGCTTGTAGTTCACACTCTGACTACAAGAACCAAAGCTTCCGCCTTACATGAAAATCAGGGTTTTTTTTCTTGTTTTTTTTTTATCTTTCTGCATTCAGCAGAATGACGAGACTCTGCTCAAGCAGGATGTGGAGCCCAGAAAGGGAGGCACACCGTCACACATACCACTGTGTGGTTTTCTTACCGTAAATTGAGCATCAGGCCCAATTCTGAGACTTCACTGGTAGCTTTGCCTCTCGGTGGCTTTAGCACGTGGTTTGTCACTTCAGCTCAGGGCGCCGCTTGAAACAGCGTTAGCTTTTCTTTGATCGTTCTGCTCACGTTACGGTCAGTTTCAATTGTGATGAACCCAAACTTTCAATATGGCCTGATTGCGCTGCATTTTAAACTAGTATATTGAATCGAAATATAATCAATGAAAGCTTCTTATCCTTTCAGGTTTATGGGGTAATGGCTTACCTCAAGGTACCTTAGACTGATCCCCAGTCTTAATAATAACAATTATTAAGTTTATATTATTACACTAAAAGTCAATATATTTATTTTTGTAACTTTGTGTTTTTAAAGTCAAATTTGTGATAATTGATGCTAAATAAAATGACTATTTTACAGCCATTTTTTCCAAAGATGACTGAAATATTATATTATTCCTAGAAGCAATAAGGTGAATCAAAAAATATTTAATGTTTTATATTATTTAAAAAATATATTATTGAATTGCAGGAAAAAATATATAATCTATTGCAAACATTAATTTAATGCATCTTGATTCATTTAGACAGTATTCTGAGTCAAATTCATGGCCTGTTGACCGAATCCAACCTGTTGCAGTATTTATGTGGCCCTCAAATAAGTAACATAGAGGAATGTGTTCTTTTTAAATTGAAATAGTGGCTAAACTGCAAAAGAAACGACGGTAAGGATTTATCTTTTGAAAGCAGACCTTTCAATTTAGCTGCACTTTTTAGACTTCATGGTGCCAATCTATAAAAATGAGCTTCTGACCCCAATTCTAAGGTGTTGAATGGGATTATTTCTATCAAATTTTCTAAAAATAAGGGATTTAAAAAAATAAATGAAATTCATTTACCTTTTTTTTTTTTTTTTGAAAAAAATATTAAAGAGAACATAAGATAAAAATCATTCACATGTTTATTCAGTGCAGATATAAAAAAGCATAATTTATGTAGGTAATGAAGGTAAGACATATTTACAAACTAAATACAAGAAAATAGATTTTTATCTTTACATTTTTTGTTTTTACAATGTGATTAAATTTCACTGATAGGCCTTCACACACACAAAAAGAAGAAATTCACAGAATAAAGATGAGCGTCCTCTAGCAGAAATGTCTGTCTATCAAGCTATAACTTTTAACTGCCACGTTCCAGCCTGCAAAAAAGGCGTCGCCACGCCTCGGCTGTCAGCTTTTATTGCTTTAAAGCACTGGTCGTGTGTGATGCTACATGTGTTTGAGGGACCTCCAAAGCTGAAGGGCCACCCAGCCCGGCCCCTCTGTCTGACGTCTTTAGAGTCTCTGATGCCGCCGGCCTCGGCGCTGACCAAAACTCACATGGCAGAGATTACAACCTTTGGGCAGCCGCCAATTTTTTTGGGTGTGGATGGCTCCGTGATCACGACAACGTGTCATTATATGCTACAAAGGCAGTGGGAGAGAAGCCTAAAGCTTAATCTTGGGCTTTCCCCTCTTAATCAGCTGCACATTACAGATGCTGCATAATGTCAACACTAAGGCTTGGATTTATTGGCCTCTGCAAGAACTTACTAGACAACTTAGGTTTTGTCTTGGATTAATACTGGCCTTGCTTAAGAGTCTTTAATGGTAATGCTATGAAAGACTAGCTTTCAGCAACAATGAAGGCACATAGAAGTGGTATAAATATGAGTCAAACATGAAATTTGTTTCTCCCAGCTTTATAAACGTGGACAATTTAAAACTAGAATAATTTCAAAGTGCAACAGTTTTTTTTTTCTCTTCCTTCCAATGTTTCTTTAAATATGAGTCTTTTGCACAAATCGAAGTGCAGCACGACCAGTTTCAGTCTGCGTGCTTTCCTTTCAGTTCTGAGTCAGAGTGTTATATCTTGGATATCCTTGGATAAATAGCTTTAATAGTTGAGGGAAGGTTCGCAGAAGAAACCGTCGTCTCCATTCCCTCTAGTCTGTGAGACGTTGCGTCCGTCTTGGTGGTGCTGAAGTCCAGGAAGGCCAAACCGAACTTTTTCATTCTCCCGTCTGCAGTTAGGAGGCAGCGGTGGCAGAGCAGTTTGAGAATGGCCTTCCGCATGTCCTTGCTGGTCAGCGTGTAGATGATGGGGTTAAGGAAGGAGTTTAACACTGCGAGGCCCAAGAAGTAGTCGGCCTTAAAGAGCACCTTGCATTCATTGATTGGACAGCTGAAGTCCAGAAGGAATAGGATGAAAAGGGGCATCCAGCAAGCGATGAAGACCCCAAGGACGATGGTGACGGTTTTCAGAAGGGCCATGTACTTCTGAGACTTGCGGTAAAGACCTTTGCGTTGGGGAACTGTGGCGAGGCGCTGGGTATTGGACTTGACGATGCGGAAGATTCGTACATAGAGAACCACAATGGACATGAGGACGGCACTGAAGACGGTGATGCAGAAGAGGATGTAGCTTTTAGCGTAGAGCGGCAGGACGGTGGAGCACTTATTGAGCTGCCAGATGCAGTTCCAGCCCAGGACTGGCAGAACACCCAGGAACACTGACAGCACCCAGCTGCATAAGATCAGAGCTAACATCCGTCCCTGTTTATGGCCCTGGTAGGGTTTCATCCTCACCATGGTGACGTGGCGCTCTATGGCGATGGCCAGCAGACTGATGATGGAGGCGGCCAGCGTGATGAACACACAGCCCTCCCTCAGGAAGTATAGCAAGGGGGTCATGTTCATCGTGTTGGCACCAGATGTCATGATGTTTATCATGTAGGTTAAACCTGCAAGCAGGTCTGAGAGAGTTAAGTTCCCCAGTAAATAGTACATGGGGATATGGAACTTCTTGTTCTTCCAGATGGCAATAAGCACCACAGCATTCTCTGCAACAATAAGCAGGCAGACAAGCAGGAAAGCAATGGCGTCTGGTTTGAGTCCAGTCTTGTACTTATCCCCGCTGGTCCCATTTAGCTTGCCTGTGTATTTATAGTGCTCCTCAATGATTTGTTCGTTCAGGTACACACTAAACATGGAGTCCATTACTGCAGCTTTGGTAGAAACTGTACTTATTGTTGGGATTCCCCAGGAATGGAAGACTGGTTTCTTTTTCCGCCTTTTCTACGGATTATAAAATTAGATCCACAAACAAGATGTCAGAGTCCTGCTGTCAGACATTCTTCCGTCTCTTGATACGTAAGCAGGGGAAAAAGGTGTTGCTTTGATGTTGTCAGCCAGGCTTTCTTGTGGTTTCAAAAGTTTCCTCCCAAAATCTTTTTGTTCAATATCTGGGACACACAGATGAGAAGGCAGCCTGCATATTAAAAGTAAAAATAGAAATAAAACAATTAGAAAATATTATTAATAATGACAAGAAACATAAGAGCTATAAAAAAAGATGGTAATATGACACTTTTAAAACCGTTTTTACAAATAGGGACCATTTGTCATTGTTTGGTCGCCCCCATGCCAGTAGGGGGCATCGTTTGTGCAAAACAATCTTAAGATTTTACCTCCATAAATAAAATAATATGTTTTCAGGGTGTGAGGGAAGTTATAAATGGATGTTTTAAATCCCTAAAAATAAACTATATAATGTTTTTTGCCAAAGTAGGAAGTTAATGATCCTCCATAAACCAGATCAGCTGGACAAAATACATTTATTGACAGTATAATATGTAATCTGGACGCTAAATGATTAACAATTTACCAATATGTTGAATAAACATAATGAACTAGCTCCAAATGTTATTTCATTCAGGGTCCAATCCAATCTTTGGTTCTGGTTCTGATAACTTTCAGTGCTAATGAGGCAGAAAATCATAGTTATCTCTTTAATCACTTAACTAACGAGGCCGGATGCAACAAGTTATGCTTGAACTGGAGCAAAAAGGAAGCAAATCATAATCACATAGGGACTAAGTGGGAGATTTATTTTTCTACAATTGCATATCTATATTCAACAAAAGCAGAAAAATGGTCTGAATAAATAGAGAAGCTGAAATAATCGACTTTTGCGACTCATTACCAATGCGTAATGCGTAATAACGCACCTATCCAAAGATGCCGGTTTTTTCCTATTTGGAATTAAAAGGTATTTTGAGTGTTGCTCAAAAACATACTTAACTTTTATTGTTAAAATTTGATGAGTTACACGACCTAAAATGTTTAGAGAAGTTATGACTTCATGATGTGATTGATTTTATATAGAGATGCTATTTAATGACTTAAAAATAGGATGGTTTTACACACTTCTACTATGAAGATCTGAATCATACTGCTGTGCGTAAAAAGATCTACAAGTATCTAAAATAGTCACAGAAACTGAGTAATTATTCACTCACCTTAAAGAACTTCCACGCCAAATATCCACGGATACCTAAAGTGTGCAGGAGTGAACCCACGGCTGCATGAGAGGACGCTGCGCTCTGAATGTGGATCAGAGTGCACCATGAGAGTGAATACTGAGTGGAAGTGAGGGCGGGCAGGACTCAACATGCGGGGGTTGGCTTAATGTTTTTGCCCTTAAACGAGTTTTTCCTCCCCCCTTCTGTTCGACCCCGCAGTTTGCTTTCTTACTTTTTTTTCTTCTTGGTCTCAGACAGATTAAAAGTCGAGGTAGGATTAGGGAAGAAAGTCCGAGCTTTACCTTTATCAGTTTATCCTTATGGAGTTTACAGCTTGCTAAAACCAAGTGTTGCTACTGTTTTTTAACTTGTTTCTCAGGTGGAATAATAAATGTTACTCATTACTTTTGCTGCATTAAATAGAAAATCCTCCCTTTATTTAGAAAGGGAGATTAAAAACAGGATTATCTTAAAGCAACCTACACTGTAAAAAGGAATTTTGAAACACATTAACTTTAAGCCATTAGAATTACAGTTTTACAGAAGCACATTTTTTGTAGACATAATTTTGAACGATTGTTATATTTTAATATTATTTGCAACTTTGGTTGGGTAGCAAATCCTACTTGAACTTTTAGATTAGAATAAAGCAACTAGGCGCTTTTTGTGCAAAGTCACGCAGACTTCAGATAGTTTGCCACTTTTAGAACAAAATAGCTCTATTTATTTTTCAGCTCTGCTGTATAAACATTATTCTATCAGGAAAAAATCTACCCTTTGAAAAAGAGCATCACAGCTCTGATTCAATCACAAAAGCTGCAAATCAACAGGTGAGAGTTTGTTGCAGTGCATTGATTTATACGTATTTTTTGTCCACTCAGTCATAATTTATCACTTTTGAAATGATTGTCAAAAGCATTTCCATGCACTTTGTGTAGCTGCATCAGACTGAATGAGAGAAAATAAAACTTAAAGAATAGTTTAGGGAAGCTTGGCAACAATAAAAGGCATGGTGTTGGGTCTCTATGTTGGATGCTTGTGACTTACCTTTCTCCTTAGGGTGTGTTTGGCAGGATGAGCTCCCAGCTGATGCTTCTTCACTGCAATCAGGAGGCAGTATTTAGAAGAGTGGATTTCCTAGGACGGACGCCAGTTGGTTAATTTCCACACTGTGGTAACTTACCCGCTAGCTCCTCTCATCTTGATATTTTTGATGTGAACTTACCTTCCTTGTCCTCCTTTGTTTCAGTCACGCTGGTTCCGAGTCCATCGCCCTCGCTGCCTCCTGGATCCATCCAAAGAGCTCACCTGCCTGTCCACCCATCAGAGAAAGAGAAAGTGTCACTGCCTCATGATTGGATTCCCACACTGCCTGAACGATTCAGGTTCCCCCATATGACAAACCTTTGCATATGAAAACTATAAGGACTGCACAACCTTCTTTCAAATCTAAGATTTCTCCTGAAGCCGCATTACTCACTGAGTCTCTTCCACCTGAGTGATCCAGTCTGAGCCTCCCTGGTGCACACATTTCTAGGACACCCAAGCTCTGTGTTTTCTAGAAAATAAAACTCTGAAATGACTTACCTTAGTCTGACTGTGATTGTGCCTGCTCTAGAGTCGATCGTAGCATCATGTCACATGGTGACGTTTTATTGAGGGGACCAGAAAAGATATCAATGAAAGATCAATGATTCTACATATGTCTAAAAGCCTTTTAAAAGTCACTCACATGGCATGCTTTTTAAAAGTCATTCCTGTTACCACTGAGTAATTCATCCAAATACATGATTAAGATTTAGGGTTTTTCTTTTTTTCACCAGAGCCCTTTAAAAAAAATAAATAAATACATTTAAAAATCCTGGAGACGATACCCATCTTTAAATACCCAGCTATAGAACTGAACCAATCCAATTTTTTTCTGATCCAATCTGATATAGATATTGGCTAAGCGTAATAGCCGACATCTGATACAGATCATTGAAAAAATAAGGTAAATTGACACTTTTAGAAATGTAATTTATATTATTTATCAACAAATGAGTAGCAAAAAGAAGGAAATAACAGTTCCATGTAATGCACTGGATTGGATGTCTGATATCCAAAATCAAATCAATCACTTATATTTGATCCAGCTAATAAGTCAATATTGGAGATGAAACCTAATCCAGGTATAAGATCAGTGCATCTCTACCAATCATTAGTGTCAGCATTTTGTGTGTTAGTCACATTTCTTAGTTTTCATGACCTTTTCAATTTCCTTTAAAATCATGTGATCAAACTGTTATTGCATTCCTCGGACACTGTAGAGCCAATATAAGCTGGTTGAAATATATTTCATTGGGTTTCATATATATCTGTATAAAGAAAAACAAACAAAAGAAATCATTTGATCTTGATGAAGTATATTTATCCTAAATAGAATTCCAGCACCAGATAGGATAAGCTGAGATAAAAAAAAAGATGTGTGGGAATCTGCTGACAATGACTTAAGAGGCTGACTGAGCCCATCTCTTATGGTTATAATGTAATGCTTATTATAGCTGTAAAGCAATCAACCTAGCAGCCAAATGGTAAAACTAATTGACATAATTTGTCCATTAGAACCTGTGGTTCAACAAACAGATGTTAAAAATCTGTTGGATCTTAAGTAATTTATCTTTTATTTATTAAAATAATAGATAAATTCAGTTATTTATGAACTTCCTATGGCTTTTCTTTGTGTATGTTTCATAATTACACATCAGCTTTCAGTGGAAAAAAGCCTACATGATCATGGTACAGCTGGGCCTGTTCAGCAGCTCAGAAAGCCCGCATTTCAGAAAATAACTCACTCAGACTTCATCTGTAATTATACTTCACTCACACATCAAAACTTTTTTTTTTTTTGGGAAAGATGCCATTTATAGGGTTTGTTTTTGAAGCCCCCCCACCCACCGCCACCCCTCGAACACAGGCGTAACTCAAGGCATAACTCTGACCATGATTGTTCTGTAATAATGTATTTGTGGCAGGGTATGCTAAGATTACACATTTCCTTGCCATGAAGCCAGAAATTCAAAACATTTAGCAGAAAGTACTTTACTAAATGTGTTTTTTTTCCCGTGTTTACATTTTTTTTTTCTATTAGTTAAGACATGCAGTTTCATGGAAAAGGGTGGGGTGTCCCTCAGTTCAACCTCTTCAGATCCCCTTAAATAGAATCCATTACAACAAACTGCCGTAAGAAGTCCCCTAAATAGTAGAGTCCTCTTCTGTGTGATTTAATCCAGTGTAAATACAGCTGCTCTGTAAAGGCCTTGGAGGTTGAGTTTCTTAGTGGACAAACGGTATTGTGAAAACCAAAGAACCCAGAAGACAGAGAGAGCTGGAAAGATGTCTAAAGAAAGGTTAGGCTCCAGCTCAAAGTGGAAAGAGAATGACCCAAAACATCATTGTCCTCCTAATCAACGAGTTTACTTAGAGAAGCAGACAATGGGCTCATGTTCTGAAGGAGCTGTGGAGACTGTCAACTTAGTTAAGAGAAGCTGTTCTCGTAAAAAATGTTCACTTAATCTGGTCTCTGGGGAAGATCAGCAAGAAAATAGCAACTGCTGAAAAAAAAAAACACATTTTAAGTTAGCTAAACAGCCTTCAAGGTACCACAGCAAACAAAGAGGAAGTTTCTCTGACCAGATGAGAATAAAAAAATTAAGTTTTTTTTCTTAACCTGCAAACAGAACTCAATGTGTGGTAGCGGACTGCAAAACAGATCAGACACACCGCCCCCATGGTGGTGAATTATAGGGGGGTATCATGCATTTTACTTTTCCCTGCACAATCTAATGGGATGCATATTTTAGTTTTTACACTTAGAAATTTTTTTTTAAAGGGAATAAAACATGCTAATAAACCAAAATTTCCTATTTACTCATTAGAGTTTTAGACATTAAAATCATCTTCCCAACAAATTTAAACTTTTCTATCACGCTTATTATTATATATTTGGTCTGTCAATGTGTTTTTTTTCCCATTTAGTTTTTATTAAAAAAAAAAAACAATAACTTGAAAATAGTCTTGAATTTATATTTATAGTAACTAAAAATTTGTTTTATTTTCAAAAAGTGTGAACTAAAAAGCACCTTTCGCTTTTAAAAGGAAACTAAATATTTCTATAATGTTGCATATCTAGTAACACCTGAAAGTGAAAGCTCCTTTCTTTCTGTCACTCGCCCCCTTACTACGAACTTTAAGTGGGCTATGGGTTGTGCCTATAAAAACACAGCTTTTATGCCTGTTCACTCGTTTTTTATCGTGCTTTTATTGTCTCTCTTTGTAAACACTGCTGTTGTTCACAGTTCACCAAGTGTCTGTTGCAGGAATGAACAGCAGCTAAAGAACTGAGGAAACTACGTAGGTCGAGCCTGGGTGAGCGGCAGGACTGGACCGGGCCTTCGTTTAAACAGGAAGCAGTCTCATTGTGCCTTGAAAAGAGGGATATCCTTAAGAAAAAACACAGATGAAGTCACCATTTTTAGGGTCTGACACACAGCACAGCAAAATTGTGACGAGTGACGTGCGATAAACAATTTGAGCAAACATTCAGCAACTTAGTCACTTCCCTCCCCTGTTATTAATTAATAACTTTAAAAAAAACACGTGTGGCTATATAATTGACTCATTCTTGCTTCACATAATCTCTTTTAATAAAGTGAAAATTGCAGCTCTAATATCCATCTCTCCTCTAAAAACTTCTTATCCCCTTATTCTCCCAGTGTCTGTCTTTTTTTTTAATCACATTTAATGTTTTTTAGACAGGATTCCTCTGCATCTTTAACTATTCAGTGGTTTTTCTGACTCAACTTTCTGGAATTTCCAGTCCCTCTAATTCACTTTTATGACATATAAAAATTACTTGTTACAACAAGCGGGGTTTAGATATTTAATCTTCATCATTATTATAAAAAAGTTAATACATTTGATCCAAAATATATAAGTATTTTCATCTGGTTGAAGGTCCAGTGTCGACACATAAGGATTCTGCACCGACAAGAATAATCAAAGTGACATGAGATGTTACCAGATCCTAGTAGGTCATTGATTACTCTGAAAAACTGATCCTACTCAGCATCACATTACAGATTCAAGTAGAACAAAAAAGATGCAAAATAAGGGTGAC